TTTCTACTCAGAGCATCGGCTACCACATTGGCCTTCCCGGGATGATACAAGATGGTGATATCATAGTCTTTCAATAGATCCAACCACATTCTCTATCTCAAATTAAGCTCCTTTTGCTTGAACAAATACTGCAAACTCGGATGATCCGTGAATACCTCATACGACACACCGTAAATATAGTGCCTCCAGATCTTCAGCACATGAAAAATTGCTGCTAACTCTAAGTCATGAATAGGGTAATTCTTCTCGTGAACCTTCAGCTTCCGTGACGCATATGCAATCACCTTGCCACCCTGCATCAGTATTGCACCAAGTCCAATGTGAGATGCATCACAATATACTGTATAAGGCCATGAACTTGTGGGCAACACCAACAACGGCGCCGTAGTCAAAGCAGTCTTGAGCTTCTGAAAGCTCGCCTCACATTTGTCTGACCATTTGAACGGGGCACCCTTCGGGGTCAAGCGGTCAACGAGGCTTCCATAAATGAAAACCCTTCCACAAATCGACGGTAATAACCTTCCAATCCCAAGAAGCTCCGAATCTCTATAACTGAAATGGGTCTAGGCCAGTTCTGAACTGCCTCAATCTTCTTAGGATCCACCTGAATGTTATCCGCCGATACAACGTGCCCCAAGAAAGCAGCTGAGCTTAACCAAATCTCGTATTTTGAAAACTTAGCATATAACTGGCTATCTCTCAGGGTCTGAAGAATGATCCGAAGATGCTACTCATGCTTCTCTCAACTTTGGGAGTAGATCAAGATATCATCAATAAACACAATCACAAAGGAATACAAATAGGGCTTGAACACCCGGTTTATCAAATCCATAAATGCTGCTGGGGCATTTGTCAGCCTAAATTACATCACTAGAAACTCATAATGGCCATACCGAGTCTAAAAAGCTATCTTAAGGACATCAGATGCCGTAATCCTCAACTGATGGTAACCAAACCTCAAGTCAATCTTTGAAAATACCTTGGCACCCTGAAGCTGATCAAATAAGTCATCAATCCTCGGCAATGGATACTTGTTCATGATAGTGACTTTGTTCAACTACCGATAATCTATGCACATCCTCATCATTCCATTCTTCTTCTTCTTCACAAACAACACAAGCGCACCGCGGGGCGAGACACTAGGTCTAATGAAGCCCTTATCAAGCAAATCTTGCAACAGCTCCTTCAATTCTTTCAACTCTATTGGGGCCATATGATATGGAGGAATAGAAATGGGCTAAGTGCCCTGGAGCTAAATCAATACAGAAGTCAATATCCCTGTCGGGTGGCATCCCCAGCAAGTCTGCAAGAAATACCTATGGAAATTCTCGAACAACTGGTACAGAATCCATGGAAGGAACCTCCGTACTAGAATCGCGGACATAAGCCAAATAAGCTAGATAACCCTTCTCGACCATACGCCGAGCCTTCACATAGAAAATAACCCTGCAGGTAGAATGACTAGGAGTCCCTCTCCATTCTAATCGAGGCAACCCCGACGAGGCTAAGGTTAGTGTTTTGGCGTGATAGTCCAATATAGCATGATAAGATAATAACCAATCCATCCCTAGAGTGACATCAAAATCAACCATATCGAGAAGTAGGAGATCTGCACTAGTCTCAAGAACCCCAATATTAACCACACATGAACGATAGACACGATCTACCACAATAGAATCTCCCAAAGGTGTGGACACATGCATAGAGGCACTCAAAGAATCACGAGGCATAACCAAATATGAAGCAAAATAGGACGACATGTATGAATAAGTAAACCCGAATCAAATAGAACTGAGGCATCTCTACTGGAAACTGAAATCGTACCTGTAATAACCACGTTAGATGACTCAGCCTCTGGCCTGGCTGGAAAGGCATAGCATCGGGGCTGGGCCCCACTACTCTAAACTACATATCTAGGACGACCTCCTGCTGGATGACCTCCACCTCTAGTGGCCTGACTTCTACCTCTAACAACCTGACCTCTACCTCTAGTGGTCTGACCTCTACCTCTAGCTCCCTAGCCCCTACTTCTAGCTGGATGAGCGGGCAGTGATGCAACTGGTGCTGAAACTATAGCACGAGAAATCTGCTATGACGTGCCACTGAATAATCTCGGACAAGTCCTCCTGATATGCCCAAAACCACCGCACTCATAACACCCATCCTGATACTGTGGCTACTGAAACTGAGATTTGCCTGAACGAGATGGATTACCACAGTAGTAACTCTGAATAGGAGGTGCAGTGATAGAAGCTAGCGGTACATTGTAGGCTGGCTGCCCAGAATGAGGCACATAAGTACCACGACTCCTTGAAGTACTATAGGATGCCTGAAGCGCTGACTGATATGGTCTAGGAGGATGGAACCTACCAAAAGTAGCCCTGCCTCCAGTTGAGGCACCACTAAAACCACCAGAATGACGAGGCCTCTTATCTGACCCCTGCCCTCTCTGCTGTGAAAGAACCTCCTCGATCCGCCTGGCAATATTAGCAGCCGTGTGAAAAGAAATCTCATTTCTGTCTCCTTGGCCATCTGAAACTTGATAGGATGAGCGATTCCCTCAATAAACCTTGTCACCCTATCTCTCTCTCTCTCTCTCTCTCTCTCTCTCTCTCTCTCGGTAGGAAGCAAAAGAATAGCATGACAGGCTAAGTCCATAAAGCATGTCTCATACTGGGTGACAATTATACCACCATGCTGAAGGCGTTCGAACTGCCTGCGGTAGCTCTCTCTCTCTGAGTGACAAAAAGGAACTTCTCAAGAAATAGCTGAGAGAACTAGTCCCAAGTAAGAGAAGGTGACCCAGCTAGTCTGGTCAACATATAATCCTTCCACCATTTCTTGGTGGAACCTGATTACCGAAATGGAGCAAAATCGACCCCATTGGTCTCCACTATCCCCATGTTCTGTAGCAACTCATGACAGCTATCAAGATAGTCTTGGGGGTCCTCTAACAATGCACCACTGAAGTGAACTGGAAAGAGCTTAAGTAAACCTATCCAATCTCCATAAAGCCTCGAAAGACATAGCTGATCCATCACTAGCCTGTGGCGCAATACCTGGCTTAACTACCCCAACTGGTGATGCTGGTGATGCTGAGGCTCCATTGCTGGTGATGCTGCTCGAGCTCTAGGATGAGCTCTGCCTCTACCCCGGCCTATGCCCCTTGTAGGAGCTTCCACTAGGGCTCTGGTTGCTGCTCGGCTGAAGATGCAGTGCGTGTTCTCACCATCTGCGAGAGAACATAATAGAGGGATTCAATTAGCAATGATAGAATATAAATCGCACAACAGAGAAGAATAAAAGTGAAATTGTTCCTAACTCCATAGCCTTTGGAAGATAAAGTACAGACGTCTCCGTACCGATCCTCCAGACTCTAATAAGTTTGCTCGTGACTCGTGAGACCTATATAACCTAGGGCTCTGATACTAACTTGTCACGACCCGGAATTCCTACCTTTGTGACCGTGATGGCGCATAATATTTCACTCGCTAGGCAAGCCAACATTAGAATAATTTATTTCTTTTAACAATTTAAATGATAAAACTAAGAGAGAACTGAAATAACTGAAATAATCTAAAGTGTAAATACGGAAGCTAAACCAGCCAAACATCTATTACAAATCCTTAAACCTGGTATCACGAGTGCACTGGCTACTAGAATAGTACATAAAAAAATTAGTAGTATACTATTGTAGTTAATTATATACTCTTGAATAAATTATTATATACCAATACAGTATACAATATACTATTTTGGGATACAATATAAATCGGTCTTCTTTGCTAGTTCAACTCAATTTCAACCCAAAATTTAAAAATCTACTCTAAACTCCACCAAATTGACTCGGAATATAGTCACATCCTTCAATTAATATTTCGAACATACCCAATCAGAATCGAATCAAATTAGCATTAACATCATAATCTACACATTAAAGAACAATACCAATAAATTCCAACAGCAAACACTTCAAACACACATGAAAATTCAATTCTTAGTTAGATAGTACGTAATATTTTTTGTTTTACTTTTAGGAGATAAAATGAATTATGGAGCACAAATGGAAAAGTGGGTGATGGCAGCAAGAAAAAGGTACCATACAAACAACATACAAATGCTATATCTTTTGTGATTGAACTTCCGAATCAGAATTGGATTTTTCATGGAGTAAAAGAGGAAAATTAATTTTGAAATTTCTTAAAAGTGTTTGTTGCTTCTCCTTGAGAAATGGTGGCGGCAGCAGCGAGAATTGATGGGGTGATAACAAAGGAAAGCTAATTATGTATTAGGCTAGGCGGTTAATTAGTTGTAATAGAATAGCTATTTGATGTAATTGTTTTTAAATGGGTAATTACGGGTAATTACTTTTGATTATGTAGGAATATAGGGTAGTTTTCCCTACTTTTTAAGTGTTATAGACATAGTTAAGTAACTTTTGTGTTACAACAACATAAATATGCTTTACTACATAATTTCTAATAATCGAATGACTTAAATTTTTTTACATTGACTTAATCAGTCAATCAGTACGATTAAGCAAGAACTCAAAACAAGTTTTTAAGTAATTTGTCTTTTTTTTTTTCAATACCCTTTTGCTTTCTTGAGGAAGAATGCATATCTATATCCTGTAGGAGTACCCAAATGTACGATAGTCTCATGAACTGACCATCAAATGACCCCATTGAGGAATTGTCAAAATAAGTATGAGTAATTCATTAAGAGATATCCAGAAAGCAGGCTAAATTCCAAAACACTAGAAAGGCCAAAATGATAGCTATTAGACTGAACCTTCTAATACCACGAAAGAAGACTTTTCATCAGTATTTTCTTTTTAAATAAAAATATCAAAGCTTTTTATCTCTAGTATATATTCTTGTCTTTCTTCTAATAATCCAATCAATCCTCCTAGACATCCGTCAGTAGCTTTGATGCATTCAATTTGAACTTGTATATTTACCATCACCCCTTTAATTACTCCAACACAACTGTCCATTATATATATAACTACTGGAGTAATATTTATATCGCATGAAATGTAATTTCTTCTCCTTAATTCCCTAAACAAGTAGCTAGTAAAATGGATGAATATGCATCACAGTACTCAATGTGGATGAAGGGCAAAACAATTCCTCTGGGAGCTGGCTTTATATGGCCTCCAAGATGTTATTCATGTAGCTTTTGTAAGAGAGAATTCAGGTGTGCTCAAGCTTTAGGTGGTCACATGAATGTCCACAGAGGGGATAGAGCCAGACTCAAGCAATCCCTTAACCCACAAAACGAAGCTCTTTCCCAAAGTTTTTCAAAACAATCCCCAGCTAGAAATTCGAAAAGTGCTTCTTTAACTCTTTCTTCAAAATTCTCTCATCTTGCTTATTCTCCTGAAATCAAGGAATTAGCAGCTGGGCAAAAGATCATGTCATCATCTTCCAGTACTAATCAAGATTTGAGTAGATACAAAAAGTTTATTTTGTTGGATGATGATGGAAATTCTTCGTCAGTAGGCGTATCAGCTTCAAAGAGACAAAAAAGCTGCATGGTTTCATCATTGCCTATGCTCCATAAACCATGTTCGAGTCATGAAAAATATAGTTTCACTACTTCAGATTATAAAGTGGGGATCACGACCAGTTCCATGGAGGATATTGATCTTGAACTCAGGCTAGCTATAGGTGATCCACCAGCCAAGCAATTACTTACGCTAGGTTTAATTTAGGAACCAAGAAACATGACTAATCTATCTCTTTTCATCTCATCATATTTTTATTAGCTGGTTTTAGAATTTAGTAGACAAAATTTTAGTATGATGATTGGGCAAGTCATTCAGATCTTTTATGTGTTCACTTGTTATCAATATAATTTATTGTCTCTGTTAGATAAGATTTTGCGAACCATATCTCAAAGAAATGACCTTCTTTTTCCCTTTTATTATTTTTTTGGATTGTCCAATTACGAACCTCTAATTTTAATTTCTTATGCGTGTAATTAATTTCACATCAAAATTATGGGGCAAACATCCGAGTCGTCATTAGAAGAACTTGATCGATCACTTCATTGTAACGCAACCCATCGCCTCCCTCCTAAACTTCCAAAAGTAAAAGGGAAAATACATAAGTTGTACCCTAAACTTGACTCAAATGCATAGTTACATATTTTAACTATATCAGTGATCTTTTACTCCCCCTCTTCCCCGTTCTAATTTAAAATGAACTAATGCCACGTGAGAATATAATACTAGTCTCACAGTGTGAGGTGCTTTACATCACGATAGGGCCGCCTCAACTTCATGTCAAAAATCTTCTAAATTTTTATTTTTATTATTTTTCCTTTGTTTTTGTTTACTCACAAATTTTCCTTTTTCTTTCTTATTTATACACTAATTAGTTACAAATTAACCATTAAAATTCCTCAATAATTAAATCTTCTCCATCACCACAAACCACCTTACGCACCCCATCACTCTATCTAATCGGAAACAAATCACTCCACCCACCACTGATTCACTGACATTTAATCCCACCCCAGAAATAACAGCTAAAGAACGACGCCTAAATAATAATAAGCATTAACCTTTTTACCGCATGGGAGTATATATAAATTGAATGGTTACTTGACTTGTAGTTCCATTTTAAATAGAGTTTAATTTTTATACTTTTGCCTCATCTAAAGTTAACTGCTCAGAATAAGCGTAGTTAGAAATCTGGAAATTAAATAAGAAAAACAGCATACTAGTAAAAACTAAATTATCTTAATAGTGTAAAATTATCCTATAAGTTAAATCCTTTAAATTATCCCCTAATTAATTGGTTTCTAATAAAGTTCCAACATCAACTTTAAATAATATTGTAAATTGGACAAACCTCAATTTTCCTCTCTATGTAACTTATTGTCTATTTGGCCAACCTTCTCCAAAGCCAAAAACACTTTTTTTTCTTTCAAAAAAGTATTTTTTTTCTTCTAAAGTTGAAGTATTTCACCAAACTTGGAAAAAAGTGTTTTTGAGTAGAAGCAAAAGCATTTTTGGAGAAGTAGAAAAAATTAGTTTTTCTCCAAAAGCACTTTTGAGAAAAATACACATAGAAATACTATTTAAAAGCTTGGCCAAACAACAATTGTTGCATAGAAGAGCTTTTCAAATTAATTAACCAAACACAAATTGTTTCTCGCTGAAAGTACTTTTGTAAAAAGTACTTTAAAAAAAAATACTTCTCAAAATAAGCTGATTTTTAAAGTTTGGCTAAACATGGTATTATATTTTCTCTGTTTCAATTTATATGAACTTATTTAACTGGGAATTTAACAAATAAGAGAAGACTTTTGAACGTGTAGTGTAAAATGATGCACATATATTTGTGTGACTATAAATTATTATCTAAAGATAAATTATTTTCAAATATGAGAATGTGTCATTCTTTTTTGCACAAACCGAAATTTTTGGCACTTTTTTCGCTACTTTTGTTTAGATTTGCATGTATGCAATATTAGAAATATGCACTACAAAAGCTATAAAATGACAGTGGATTGCTAAGAAAGAAGCCAGCCAACTAACCAACCTACAACACCTATTCATCACAACCCCTACAAAATCATGGGAAAAAAAAAACAAAAATATCTATCAGAATATTGAAAAGGCCTATCATCATCACAAGTTAATACCGAAGGTTCTTACAGAATACACGGCGACTGCTCTCTTTCAGTACTGTGTCTTCTTCAATTCTTTAAAAAGATAATTGATGGAACACAGCTTTTGACTTAAGTGGGTTCTTGCATAGGTATTGAGAATGTAACTAAATACGGTGGAAATTTATTGATACCCCCAACAAAGCTTATTCTATAATTGGATGGGTTATTGATCAAGACTTTGGCTTCCTTTTGGCAAGTCTAGAAAAACGTTGCTAGCTCCTCTCACGCGGATTAATGAACTGAAGAAGGGAAATCAGAAGGTATGGAAGGGAATACTTCAGAATTTGGTGGGTGCAATAACAGGCGCATAAGTACATGAAGAGTAACTTAGCTTCTTTATTCATGTTTTCCATAAAAAGTAATCAAGTCGTAGGGTTCCATAAAAAGTAATCAAGTCGTAGGGTTTTCTTTGTTTTACTGAGGTGTCTGTGTTTTACTGAGGTGTCTGGTGTTGACGCTTTACAGGTACATCGTCACAGACTTGCACATGGGGCTTTGCAATGTCTGCAGAAATTCATTGCCCCTCTTTTTTCTCTTTTAGTTTCTTTTTGTGGACTTAATTCCTTTTCTTGTTTAATTTCTGAAAGTGCCTAATTTATTTTACTATATTCCAAAATAAATGATATATATCTAAATTCGAAAATAATTCAACTTTAAACTAGTTATTGTACTCATTTTGCTCTTAATGAGAAGCTTTTATAATTCAAAGAAAAGAAAAATTAACTAGAAAATTCTCCTTCTAACCCAATGCTCTCCGGCGCACGTTAGTACGACGTCCGACCACCGTGGATATGGCTCGGGGAAGAGGTAGACCTCGAGGAAGACCAAGGTTGCAACCTTTAGCTGGGGGAAGAAACCTAGCTGAAACTAACTTGCAACTAGAGAAAACTCCAGTAGCTACTATGGCGAATGTTACTGTTCCATTGGAAGATAATCAATAGAAGCAGCATGCAAGTGATGGAATGAAGCAAGCTGCAGCTAAGAGATTGGATCTGAGTGTTAGTCCAATCTTAAATGGCCAAAGTGACAAATCAATTGAGAAAACTGCAGATCTAGCGAGTACGAACAAGGATCTAGCGAGTACGAGCAAGTCAACACAAGATCTAGCACTAGTAAATGAGGAAAAAGGGGAGAAAGCAGCATGAACTTCACTCTTTGCAGGTAATCGCAGCTCTGAAAATGGTTTGAAACTGAGTTACATACCACCTAAAATCGTAGAAGGTAAGACAGTGGTACAATTTGAGAAAGAGGATGTGGAGAAGGAAGTTAGGAAATGGAAATGTGCTCTAATTGTGTATGTAATTGGGGAAACACCAGACTATAATTACATGTATAGATTTCTAAAACAGAGTTGGGATCAAGTTTCAGAGCCGGAAGTATTCTATCATGATGAAGGATACTATATTGTCAAGTTTCAATCAATGAATGATATGAATGAGATACTATACTCGAGTCCATACACAATGAACAATAAGCCACTTATTTTGAAGCCATGGACTGTTAATTTTGATTTTACTAAAGAATTTCTAACTAAAATTCCACTGTGGTTGATACTACCTAAGCTACCTATGAGTTGCTGGGGAGGGTAGTCTTTGAGCAGAATTGCAAGTGTTATTGGCAAACCATTGTATGTAGATGAATGCACCTAAAAACAAAAGAGGATCTCATATGCTTGGATGTTAATTGAGATTAATGTTACTAGAGCATTGCCGACAAGTGTCACAGTATGGGAACCAGATGGAAGACAGTTTGAACAAGCAATAGACTATGACTGGAAACCAAAATTCTGTGAAGAATGCCTGAAGATTGGTTACTCTTGTAAGACAGTTGAGAATGAGCAAAACCACTATGAACAACCTAGAAGAAGAAGGAGACCAGCTGCACCACTTGTTGCACAGGAAGGCCCTCAGCAAGCAGAGAAAGTGGTACAAGAGTGGAGAGTTAAGAAGACTAATGAGATAAATGATCTTCCTACTGTGGTAGTAGGAGCAGATCAAGAAGTAGAAAAGACAACTGACAAGCAGCCTATTGATCAAACACAATAGCCTATGGATCAAACACATCAGTCTCTAGCAAGAATTGGAGATCAAACACCTGGAAGGGAGATACAAAGCACTCAAAAAAGCCGTGAACTGAGTTGTATCAGGGAGTTCCCAGCTCTGGCTACTAGTATACTGAGAAGGAATAGAACAGGGGAGTACACAGGTGGAAATAGTGGGCCACCTATTAGAGTTTAATGACTTGGGTGATATGGAATGTGAGGGGAATAAATAAGAGATATAAACAAAAAGAATTAAAGATATATGTACAGAATAAGCAAATAAAGTTAGCTGTTTTTTTGGAAACTAGAGTCAAGAAGAACAGAGCCAATAGGGTATTCAAAAACATCCTACCAGGTTGGGCAATTCAGAACAATTATCGAAATGCAATTAATGGGAGGATTTGGCTGACATGGGATCCTAAGGTATATTGTATTGATGTTGAAAAAATAGATGCTCAATTAATTCATTGCACAGTAAGGGGGAGAAGGGATGGATTTGAAGCTTGCCTTACACTAGTGTATGGTTTCAACACAGTTGAACAAAGGAAAGCTCTGTGGAGTAACCTAAATGATATTTCAACACAAGTGACAAAGTCTTGGATAATTGGTGGAGATTTTAATACTATGTTGTATACTCAAGACAGAATGTATGGCAATCTAGTAGCAATGAGTGAAATGGTAGATTTCTCAGACTGTATTCATAACCTGTTTCTAAATGAACTGGCATGGAAGGGAGAGTACTATACCTGGTCCAATAAATAACAAGGTGATGATAGGATACTAAGTAGAATTGATAGGGTGTTTGGTAATGACTTGTGGATGTCTAACTAGGGGCATGTATGTACTGAATATGATGTGCCATTGATATCTGATCACTTTCCTATGCTGCTGAACATCAAATCTATGAGATCCAATATCAAACCACCCTTTAGATTCTTTAATGTATGGACAGATCATAAGGAATTTGGAAATATAGTGAAGTCCATATGGAACAAAAGATTAGCAGGGGATGATATGGAGAATGTATGGAAGAAGCTCAAAG